CATCTTGCATGCTGTGATACTTTCCAAAGAAGCCGGGGCTTTCGATTCATTTCACTATAAAACTGTCAGCTTTCATTGTCTCGGTGCCCTCTGTGATTTTTATCAAGGGTTTTTTCTTGGTAAAGGTCATGTAAAAGTAATGAAACAGATTACCATAAAGCTGCCCGTCTCTGATTTCTTTAAGATTATTGTTGTCTTATGAACTTGTTACCTATTTTTCCAGGCTATACCCTGAAGATTCGAATGGAACTTTTTTAAAAGTTTCTGGTCAGAGTTATGTTTGTGAGGAATTCTGCTTGGCCTGAGTATCTGCCACATGCCTTTCTTTCTTTTTCTTTCCAAGTATCTGTCCTATAAACCAAATGTATACTGTTTGCTTTCCATTACCTTGCTGTTACACTGCCTGGCTTGATCACCAAGTAGCTCATCAAGGTGTTTGTTCTGTTATATTCTTTAGACAGTTTATATTATTTAAGACAGAAGTAGGCATTGGACCATAGCTTCCACTCTTCCACTTTGTTCTCCATTTTTCCTGTAATATATATCCAAGATTATACATGAGTTTTATAGGCAGCGAAAAACAGTTCTCAGAATGGTCACACAAGGAAACCCTTGTAACTTACCACAAGATATATTCTCCATTCATTAATAATTTAGTTTTTCTTGCATTACCAAGCTTTTGTTCATTTTATTTCATCTCTTCATCAGGGACCTCATTCCAGAAGGGAAAAACAGAGACGTAAACAGATAAGCAGCAATATATGCATCATGCTATGTTGCATAAGTATAAACAAATTATTTGAAGAAACTGAAATATGGAAATATTCATGTCACCTGGAAGACTCAGAAAAGTTGGATCAGGGGACCATTTCTTGGTTTATTTATTTGTACATTGTTTTTAGTATGTAGTCTTGAAGAAGAAAAAAAATAATGGCATTGGAAAGATGAAGATGCAAGAGAGTTCTTCCCCCTGGCTCAAGAATTAGGGAGGATTAGGGAAAGGGAAGTTTTTGGGTTAAGAAGAGATCATTGAGGGACTTCTTCCTGGTATAAATGTGCTCAGTAAAGCAGGTAGATGTTTGCTGAAGCAACAGGGGCCAAATTTGGGATTGTGAGAAGATCTGGAGTAACCTCTGGGAAGTACGGAGTCCGGTGGCCATGGAGAAAAGTTGAGCTCGATAGTAGCGAGCACCCATAGAAGAGAAGAAAGTGGAGTAGAGCCTGTCCTCGCGGGGAGGTAGCATTTTCCCTCCTTCATTATCAAGACAGAATGGAGGAGAGGGCTGGTTGTGGCCTACATTGTGAATGGGCACGGCAGGAAAGCATGGGGGGGGACGGAGGGAGGTCCAGGGACTGAGGGCTTCTTGTGAGCGCTTGCCTGCTGGTAGAGAAAGCAGGGTTGAATGCTCACCTGACGTGTCAACATGGGAGGCACAAGGAGCTCCCCCTCTCCCTGTGGCTCCCTTCCGTACCTGGACCACTGCCTGGGATGGCGCCTGAACCCCAGCCTTGTCCCCTCGCCCATCTGTCTCCCCAGACTGCCTTTACCGCTGGCTCTCCCTGTTATGGCAACAGCTGCTTCTTTTCTTTCAGCCCACAAAGAAGACTGTGTAGCATGAGGAAATACAGAGCTTTTATTTTGTGGTACTATGTGGTGTTTTACTCTTGTACAGATTTAGCTTCTCATTTATATATTTTCACTTTCACATGACACTAAGTTTAAATGTTTAAACATTTCCCCCCTCCAGTAGCCAAAAAGAAAACACAGCAACAGCTAATATCATAATAAATTTATTTCTAGCTACAGGAGATAAGCTTCAATGCAGTATGGCCATAAAGTACGGCTCCTGGGCTTAGGGGAAAAGCAATAAACTTTTATAAATAAAAGAATTTTAAAATACTCTTGGCAGTATAAATAAGAGTAAAATATAACTTGTAACTGGCAACACACAGCCAACACCAGCGCTACCTGAGAAGGAAAACTGCGAACTAAAATAAGGAAATGTTTGCAGCTTTTTTGTTGTTGTTACCTTGCACCCTAGGTGGGCCTGCTGGAGAAGGCACAGTGAGAAGCTTCTGACTCACCTTTGGAAACTTTATCTCAGTGACATCTCCAGGACACCTTTTGATTTGCGGAAGATCTGTGATGTTCACCAAGGAGAGCCAGGGGTACTGGTGCCACAAATGAGAGAATTCTCAAGGAATGTTAAGGTGTTAGAGAGAGGGGCACATGAGGCCGTCTTGCCAGCCGGTTCATGGGGGAGCCAGCCTGGCTCAGGGCTGACTGGACTCTCAGCCTTGCCCTGCAGCGGGTCTCTCAGCAGTTTGAAAGCCTCCGGAGGCCCATCTCAGGTCTCACGTGGGTTTCCAACTCAGGAGACACTTGGGCAAAAGCTTTTTTAAAAAATACAGTGGCATTTTAGTGATCAGTGCTTTGGTTTGAAAGACTTGAAATAATGAGTTATTCCTCTAGAAAATTAAGGAGCGAGCAAGGGAATGAATACCTCTTACCTCTTCTCTCTCTCTCTCTCTCTCTCTCTCTCTCCCTCCTCTCAAATCAGAAGTGATAATAAAGGGGAAATGGGATGATGTTAATAGGATGAAATCAGAATTTATCAGCGTTCTCACTCAATAAAGTTGTGTTTCCCCAGCCTCTGTAATCGCGGGCCAGCTGTGTGTGTGGCTGGGAAGCAGGTTCGACGTGGTCTCTCCCCTCCAGGGCCTGCGGGCCGTGGCAGCGTGGAGCGAGTGTGGGAGGCTTGGCCGGTGAGCTCGGTTTGGAAGGGGGCAGACCTGGCATTCCAGAAACAGGAAATAAAGGAGCTGAGGTGGTGACGGGAAGGAGAATGCATGTCAGTGGGGCTTCCATTGTGGAAAGCCTTAAATGTCATTTTAAAGAACTTAGAATATATCGTGTAGAGAGTAGGAAGCCATGGAAAAGAGAACAAGCTGAGACATGATGTGTTTTAAATTTGTTTTATAAGGAGAAACCTCTGTTGACGGTAGAGATGACCGATGATGAGGCTGCTAGGGAAACAGCAGAGGGTATGTGTGGGCCCTCCGTTTATAATTTGCTCAGCCTGGTGCTGTCTGAAGTTGCATCTGTTTTTGCTGGATTGTGCAGAGAAAGGACAAGCTTACAAAAAAATTTAATTCTCAGTTTCATTTCACTACTTAGTAGCCATGTGTTCGTGGGCAAGGAACTTGAACTCTTGTCTCCTGTTTCCCAGCTGCGGGATGGGCGTGACAGCAGAGCCTTCTGCCTGCGGTGGTAATCAGTTTAACTGAAACGTTGTATCTGTACGTGTAGCCCCTAGAAGCATGCCTAGTGTGGGGTCCATGCTGAATATTGTCTCATTTCACTTTTATTGTTTGTCAGTTCATTGATGTCCTTTTGTTCATTTAACCTATGTGAAGACAGCCAGTTTTAAGACAATCCAGGCTAATCTGCTACAGATTGTCATTGATAAATTTTGCTTGAAGCATTTCACTGCCATTTTTTTTTCTACCTCCTTTTCTTAATTCCTCTTGGGCCAAAAATGTCCGGCAGGAAATAAGAAGGCAAAGCCTATAAATTAAAACAGCCACTTCCCCTCAGTGTGAAGTGTGAACAGGAAATTTTGCGAAGAATGCTGCTGTGGCACCATGTGACACTTGGTGTATGTGACACCAAGGTGGTCCTCGGTGTGAGAGGGCAACAGGGGACAGGGGAAGTGTTAAGGCAAGCCCCATGCTGGGAAGATTGGGCGGTCTTACTTTACACTGCAATCTGGTTCTATGACTTCGATAAACAGGTTCTGAAATTCCAGAACATAGCGTGAGCCACATTTGAATACGATTGTGGAAACACCTTCAAAAATCCCCAATATAAAATTTTAATCACCTGTGCCTTTGCTTCCCTCCTTGTGAAAATAACTTTGAAATGACTGTACCGTATTCTTAAATTGGAACAATACTTCTGTCCCCCATGAATATAATAAAAAGTATTATGAGTATTTTCATTGAAGGTATAGTTTATTATATGAATATATGACATATGTATTTTTGTGTTTATTACACAAGTAACTGCAGGCTCAGATATTCACACTTAGAACGAAACTCTGGTCGGAGGGACTCGCTCCTTTTTCCCTGTGAGGAGAGAGCGCTCTGTTTCTTTGCAGTGTTAGGGCTTTTGTGAAACAGGAAACGGGTCCCATTAAGTTATAGGAAGAATTTATAGGATTTGGAGAGAAAAACTAAATATCCTGAAACGTTTTGCCTTTGAAGAGCTGGGAAAGCAGTTCTTGACAGAGGGAGACTAAGACAGCTGCTCTGTGTAGTTGAGGTGAACAAAGCTTTTCTTGACACTAAAGGTTTGTATTGTGCCTGAACGTGAACTCTTCATTGATGGAAGGGGGTTTTATTTGAGCCGTCAAGATTACCAAGCCATATGTCACCATCCCCAGCAAAAACACAGCGTCATGAAATAATGATTAAAGTTGCAGAAGCCAATTCATGAAGTGGCAGGAGATTATGGATGCTGCATTTTCTTCTGTTGGTTACTGGGAATTAAGTTTCAGTAGCATTGAGGATTTCTGAAAGAATACCCATAAATTATTTAAATTATATTCCCCAGCTCTCTCCTGGATTTTTGGCCAAGCAGTTTGGACGAGTTCATAAATTAGGGCAATGCTGTTTCTTAATAAGACAATTCACTGAAAATGTCTTTGCAGGATCGTGCTTGTGTGGTTAGAGTGCTAAGCAAACGCCATTAAGGAATAGGTGGTTTGTGATCTAGTCCCAAGCCTGTGGGGAACACATGTGTGACTGCAAGCAAGTTACTTGCTTTTCCTGACCATGTTTGCCCCGTCTCCCTTGAGGGGCTTTTGGCGGAATTAGATGAGTGGAGGTACATGAAAACCTCTTGAAGCAGAAAAGGCACTAAAAATAACTAAATGTAGTTGCTGAACATCCTTAACGTGGAACAAATGGACATTTTGTTCGTGTGTTTAATTTTACAGGGAACGAGGGAAACTCTCAGTCGTCACTGCGTTACCCTCGGCGATGCTCTTCGGAAGGAGAATGACTTTGCTCTCATCATTGATGGGAAAACCCTCAAGTATGCCTTAACTTTCGGGGTTCGGCATTATTTCCTGGACTTGGCTTTGTCATGCAAAGCTGTTATTTGCTGCAGGTAAGTTCTCCTGAATATTGTCCAACTTTGGTAGAGAGTGACTTTATCCTAAGTTCCCCGACTCTGAAAGTTTCTTAAAGTTATTCTACCCAGAATTTGTAAATGTCAGGTTCTTTATTAGTAACTCAGACTCAAGGTTCCCAAACTGCTCACAGTTAGGATTGGCAGGTTTCTTGTTGGGTTTTTTTTTGGGGTTGTTTGTTTGTTTACAATCCATTTTTTTTTTACTTGCGTTCCCAACTAGAGTTATTTCTGTAAGGTTCTGCATTCTGCACCTAAATCTCTGACCCTGCTGCCAGGGTTTATGTTGGGGAATGGTGTGAAGGGAGTGTGCACTGAATTGTTTTCCAAATAGCTGGACATTTTCCTAAAGGCTCAGCTGTTTGGAAAATAATTATTGACAGCGCAGTCCTTTAATTTATAATGTCACCCTCTAACTTATAATATTGCCTGTGTCCTAAAATAAAATCTATTTTGAGTTATCAGGTCTTCATGCATAGACTTGTATTTTTGTAAACCATCCCGTCCTTCCTGAACTTCTTGTCAAAGACTCTTGCCCATCTCTTTTTCTAAACTGTTTAAACGATGTCTTCCTAAAACTTAAGGTAAATTCGAGATTGTGCGAGATTGTGACCAGATTGTGTCGAGATCTCTTCCCATCTGGTCACCATGACACCTAAGGATTCTCCTCTTCAGCATCCAGGCTGGTCAGATTCGGTCCAGAGTAGCAGTTCCTCCAATTCCTCTCCCTTTTTCTGGCAGGTGAACTGTTAGCTTCTGAAGAATTTCTTAGAATCTGTGCTTTTAATTTTCTCTTTAAAACTGTACTGTTTGCTTTTATTATTTTATTTAAAATGTATTTATTTTTAAAAGAATGTTATGAGTCTTCAACCTTTTTGGGTTTTTTTTGGGGGGTGGGGGTCGTCCAGGCTTAGTCACTAAATATTCTGTATATAATAATACTGTCTCCAAACTTACAAGCCATGCCGTGTAGATATTTCCCAAATTCCAACTGAAATATGCTCTGTGAAATACAGTTTAAATCATACTCCATAAGTACCCTTTCTAAGCACCATTTCAGCCTATAAAATTGTATCATAATCACAGAATTGAGTTGCTTTTTATTCTCAGTTGCATGTATTAATTAAAAAATTACTATAAAGTTTCTGGAAAAATATTGCACAGATAATTAATGTTAGTAACAATTAGGCCCTCTTGCTTAATCATGAAGAAAGAATTAGAAATTATTTTATCTTCACTATGTCATTTTCACTTTGGTATCCTCATGCATTTTCTTTTATTTTATCTTTACCCAAGGGCATGCTTATTGATTTGAGAGCGAGGGGAAGGGAGGGAGAAAGAGAGGGAAAGTAACATCGATGGGAGAGAAAAACACCGATAGGTTGCCTCTGGTACGTGCCCTGCCTGGGGTCAAACCAGGGACTTTTTGGTTTACAGGTCGATGCTCCAACCAACTAAGCCACACTGGCCAGGACCTCATGCTTTTTAAAACATGTGTTTCCAGTAACTTTTCTTGGTTCCTTGCTAATCTCTAGAAGTCTTAGTAATGTGCAACCCTGACACTCTTCATCAGGATGGCATTGTGCCAGACTTGGTTGTTTAATCATTGTCACTAATGGGATCACAGGGATCAAGAAAAGTTTTCTTGAAAACACATTAAGCAACATGACTGTTGGCATCTGTGTGGAAACAAAACGGAGCCCAGAGCTACTTAGATAAAAGGACTGGTTCCCTTGAGTCCGCAGCACCCGCCCTGTGCCCACTGTGTGCTAGATGTGGATGGAGCACGCACAAGATGGATAAGATCTCCCGGCCTGCTCTCCTTCAGTTATCTTTCTTTCTGTTCAAGTAGAAGGAATCACAATTGGTTTGAAAGACGTGGGAGGCCAGTTTTCAAAATGCAGTCCCAGCAGCTGAGCCCCATTCTTACAGCATTGCTTAACACAGTACCTCCCACTATTCTTCAGAAAGTTGAGCCACAAATTAAACAATAGCAGAGGGAGAGGAAAACTAGCAAGCAGCGTCAAGGGAGGGAAAGTATGTTCTGTGCTTGTGAAATTCCCTCCCGAGATCCTTGTTCTGGACGCTCACGAGTCACATGGACCTCGGGGCTCCTCCAGGTCCCCGGGAGGGACTCACACCCTGCCGTGCACGTGCAGCTCAGCTCTGCAGCCTGGCCCATAAAGATGTGTGTGGCCCCTCCCTCCCTCCATCCTGCTTTATGCGCATTGGAGGACCGCAGAGGCCCCTGTGCAGACACTGAGGTTTATTTAGAGTTTCAGGCTTGCTTTCTCATTTTGCTTTTTTTTTTAAGTGAAATCTCTTTCCTCAGCTTTTTTTTCTTCTAACTGCCTTCATACTCTCTCTTTTCCCATAAGGACTGTGGTTCAGCTTCCGGTCTGGCTTTGAGAATTCATCTAAGCCCATAATTACATCAGTGCCCCTGCCCAATTTATGTCTCTGCACCTTCTTGGCCTGGTGCCTCTTGGCATTTAACTGTTGGCACAGACCATCTTCATGTCATTGAGCTTACTGACCTTGAAGAGTAATCTCCACGATAATGCTCCTCCCCCTGGGCAGGCGTAGGTGAGAAAGTCTGTAGCTCACTCTTTCCCGTGACATGCAAGTGTCACTCCTGGATTTTTAGATGATTACCATCTCCCAGCCTCAGGAAATTCGCTATTTTACTTCATTATAAGAGATGCTCCCAATCAATACTGAAGATTATTTCAAAATATAACACAGTACTGTTTCCCAAATTCACTTATGTTCACTCTAGCCTGATGGGCTTTCCCTCAGACTTCTTTCCGATCTATTTCTGGTCAGTCTGTGCAGGAAGACAGTGGAGGGAAGGCCTTCCCCTACTGGAGAAGGAGGCCCTCCACACTAGTGACATCTTTCAGCATTACGTCAGCCTCTCTCTGCCCTGCCATTATCAGCACAAAGGGCAGAAGGCAGTTTTTAGTGTTCGCCTAATTGACACAGTTATGAAAGATGAGCGTTTTCCCTGAGGAGTCTGCAGTGGAATTGAAAGAAACAGTTGTTCTCCGTCGTAGTCACGAAGTCTCTTACCACCATTTTCTGAAGGGAATATTCAGAGACAGAAATAATGCCTGCACCCCCAAATTATTCAGGGCTTTGGAGTCCTGGTTTTGGTTTACAAAGGGGAGGTTGCATGTCATTCCTCAAATATTTTTTTTTTGAGTATGTAAAATCCAAGAAGTAAAATGAAATCTGGTTTTATCAGTCTACCGGGTACTGTATGTTCATGACTACCACGCAGCTTTCTTTTTACCTCTGTGCACATTTACCTGTGTAACCTGAGCAGTTTAATGGAAAACATGCATCCCATGCCAGGGCAGTTTCTGATCAGTTTTCCTGGTAATAAACATAAACTACGCCTCGAGGGCCTCCTCCCTCCTCTTCTCTTACTCGAGTACACCGATTCTTATCTTTGGGTGTGATCACAGATGCTTTTGAGGAACAAAGGAAAGCATCCTCCTTTGGCGGAGGACCATCTCCTCCAAAATGTACACAAGCACACAAATGTGTAACAGTAAATGCACCATTTGGGGGTTTCACAGACTCCCTGAAACTCCTCAGACGGGTAAAGGAGGAAAAAGGCTCACTCCAAGAGTCGTGGAGATTTGTGTACACAAGTAACGTCCAGAGCTAATCTGCAAAGTAACTATCAGAAAATAATTCTTCTCAGTTACCAATAGTTTATGCCCTAAATTCTTACAGCTTATATTATTGGTGTCCTGACATCTTAGCTGGGGATTCCCAAAATTCTAGTTCTAGTGCTCCCTCTCTGGCACTGCAGATACCTAATGGTATCTCTCAGGCCTCTGTTTTGTGACCTGTGAAATGTGGAGCTTGGCATATAGCCGTCATTCAAGTCCTCCAGGGAGCCTGACGTCTGCGCACCCAAGAGTGGAGCCTCTCTGGCTTGGGCGGTGGGGAGCCCTGCACACACACACACACGCTCCACGGGTCGCCTCCCTCCAGCGCAGGAGCTTCTGGGCCAGAAGGTTTCTCTGAACCCTTTCTTTCTTTCTTCCTTTTTTTTTTTTTTGGATGAACCATACTTCTGTTGGCCACTCTGTTCTGGGAGGACTGTCTACTGCTTGGATTAACTTAATTTGGGGAAGCATCTGTTCCCCCTCTCTTAATATTCCCTCCAGAAGAGAGTGGGGACGTCGCAGTGGAGTATCGCCGTGTGTTAAATCGCATGTGGTTTCCGAGATCCTCGTCAGTTCACATAACCCAGCCTCTCAAAGAATTTCACGTTTTTTTCTGTAGTTGTCAGTTTAGTTTAAACATATATTGAAACTTATGTTCTGTGACAGTTGGTTGAAAATTGGCCTAGAGCCTCCAGCTTTTAGACTGTCTAGTAATCACCGTTCTTCTCCGTAATTTATGTACTCATGTCTTCTGAGAAGCAGGAGTAAAATTGAAGTGAGCATTTTTCCCTACTTGCAACATCTCTTAATCAAAGTTTAACCCCCGTTTAGGCGATTCCCCCACAGTGCATAAAAAAACACTTGACCTCAGTGAGCGTCGTCACTCGGGAGCTGCATTCCAGGCAAAACCTTTCACCTCGGTCCCATCAAGGGACCCTCCAAGAAGAGGTCTGAGGGGACACGTTGCATACTTTCTGTCGTAGCTCCAGTGCATTAAATAAAGGATTTCTTTACTTCTTGAATCTGCTTCTAAAATGTTTTGAGATTGTTTTAAACTTTAAGGAGTTCTCTGAATAAATGTTCTGGTTGAAGAAAGAGTCGTCATAAAGCACAAATGACGCTAGTAAATGCTTGACAGACATTCCTTTAAATTAAAAAAAAAAAAGCTTGAGAACATCATTGGATGCCAAAGCAGATGTTTGGCTGTGAGAAGACTCACAGACCATTAACGAATGTCAACCCTGTACTTGCTTCCAAGATAATATGAATAAATGTTGGAATTGTTGAGAGAGGATT